GAGCGCAGCACCCTCAAGCCCCGTCGCAAAACAGGACTGTACTCGCTCGGCTCATTCGCCACTTCCGCCGACAACTCATCCACGCGAGCGGCATCATGCCTCGTCATTTCATGCACATCGCGTAGAAGGTTGGGAAGAAGATCGGGTGAAAACACTACGTCGCTGTTTGTCACAAAAACAAGAGGCACTTCCTCGCGCGGCAGCGAGAGTGCAAGTCGTGACCCGATGTTCACCGCAGCGCTGTACCCGATGTTTTCCGGGTGACGACTCACAACCAGGCGTCCGGACCACCCATAGACCCTCTCGAGCTCCTGCAGGCACAACGACAGCATCGCCTCCCGCCCGTTCTGCACCAAAACCAACAGCCGGATGGGCACACTGATGTTGCACATCATCCTCCGAAATTCCATCAGATCGAGCATCAGCGGGACCACCATCAACGGGATAGCGACCGTCCCGTTATTATTTCCCCCAGCCGCCGTGTCGTTGGATCCACCAGAAGCCTTTCCCCGACGCAGTGGATATAGTCCGCCCTGGTCGGATCAGCACCAAACCATACGTGGGATCGTCGCCAAGTAGGGGCTCCACTCCAAAAAAAAAAAAATATCAAAATGGACAACAAATTTAATGTGAGAAGAAAGATAAAGCATCCTTTCCGAAATGGGTCGTGGCCTCGGTTTTTTAAACTGCGTGTAACTCCGCGCATACCCCGTTGGAGGCAAAGCCAAGGGAGCATCTCCTGAAAGAAAGCAAAAAAAAAGTAAAAAAGAAAAAGAAGGTGCGCAGGAATGGCTCCGTGTCAATGTGTAAAAAAAAAGATTCCTTCCAGCGCAATGGCCACGCATGGATAACGTCCTTGGCCTTCCGTCCGCACAAAAAGGCTCGAGTGCCCCAACAAAGCCCTCCATGCGGGAAGGCTATCAGAGACACCGCAAACCGCACCAGGTAAAAAAAAAAAAAAAAAATCAAATAAATGAATCGATAATGAAACCCAGCGCCTCAGCGTGTCTTCTGCAACACCACTCGTCATCACAAAATATTTAAAAAGCAAAAATGCGGGAAAAGGGAGGGACCGAACGGAAGCACAAGCCCACCATCAAAGGTGATGGGTTTTCCAAAGCCGCGCCCCAACACAGCAAGAGTTCTTAAGCTAAAAAAGGGAAAAAAAACCCTCATGGGTAAGAAAGAAAGGAAAATCAGCCGACCGTCCACCCGGAGGAAAGGAGGGATTCCACCGCAGTGTCCTCCACGACCCAAACACTCAGCGTCCACTGCCCGGTGTTGTGTGCGGACTCCGCGAGGAGGTTTTGGGCACGCCGCTGTGTCACACGGAGTGCCTCCTCGGAACTCAACAGCAGACGCGTCTCCTTCCGGTCGCACTCGTGGCGGTGGTGGCATCCGCTGCCTCGCTGCGTGCTGGTGGCGTCGGCTACGATGCTGCGGAGTGAGAGAGAGAGAGGGTGCCAGGCATGAGCGGTGCTGGGTTGGGCGGGCAAGACCCTCCGCGGCTAGACACCCAGCGCGACTCCTGACAGCGGCGCTCACGCAATTCCCTCCGCTCCTCTCCCTCCATTCGGCAATCGCACAGCCGCCAGCACATTGTCCCCGAAGCAACAAACATGGGAAAGCGTCGTGGCATATCTCTCGAGAGAACAGAGTGGCAGCCACACGCTACGGTCATCGTGCCGACACGTCCGGCGTGGACGCACCCACACCCACAGCAGCAGACACAAAACAAAAAAGAAGTCTTCCACTCCGTGCCACGTCCTCGTGAGTGATGGTGCGGCGTTTAAAAGCAATGCCGCCACACGCAGCGCAACCTTCCCACAGGGGATGAGAGCCGCGGCGCACTCCCACTGTCTCTTCCTTCCCTTCATGCCCTCGGAGTGATGAAGCAGCTGCCACACGCAGCCGCCAGCACACGTTAAAAAAGAAGCATCAAAATCAAATTAAATGTGCATCTTGTGCGTGCATGTGGTTGTGTGTGCCTGCAGACACACGAGGCAAAAAAGTAAAAACAGGAGCAGAGCATGTGAGGGGACGCACAAACAAAAACTGTACAGCAGAGGTGCATGGCAGAAATAACAAGACTGCTCAAGATCATAACTGCACCGCAGACAAGGCAGCGACAATTCATAAAAAATTATTAAAATTTAAAAAAATTCATCTTCACCTTTCCACCCCTCACACTTTGAAAAAAAGAAAAAAAAATGAAAAAAAAAAAAAAGAAAAAAAAAAGAAGAAATTTCGTCCTCTATTACGGCTACACACAAAAAATGAAAAAAGAATTAAAAAAAGGAAAAAAAAAACCACACAAATAAGAAAAGCACCTAACTACCATGTTGCTCCAGAAATTGTCTGCACATTTTGTCCGAAAATAAAATTAAAAGATATTTAAGTGTCTTTCAACCGCCTGACCCTCCGTGTGTCCGCACATCGTTTGTATTTCACGGGGTCATCTGCGTGTTGCTGCTCCCCTCAGCCCTTTCAGCGGCGCGTGAGTGCGGCCCGCAGAGCACAGTCACTCGTGTGTGTGGGGACTGAGAGAAGCACGCAGACATGACTGCCGTCTTGTCACTTCATCGGGAGAGTGAGCGCAGCAAAAGAAAAAGAAAAGAAAAACACGGCGGCAGGGTGTGGCTGTGTGTGTGGCGCTGCGGGTGTCTGCCAGCCCTGGCCGCAAGAAAAAAAAACAAGAGGGAAGAAATGTGTGCGCCGCCCCACAGGCCCTCGTCGCACGCCCACACGTCACGGCTCCCTCAGCGCGCCGTTCGTCGCGGCCCCTCCTCATGCGTGCAGCAGGCGAGGCGCACAGGGCCGTCGTCGTGAGCGTGTCGGTGGGTGTGCGAGTGGAGCAGTTGGGCGGGAAACACACGGCACCCCTCGCAGGAAGAGTGCAGCAACAAACAATTAAAGAGAGAAGAGTAGAAAAGAAAAAAACGTCCATGGTGGTTGCCCTAAATCATCAAGCAAAAGAAAAGAAAAGTAATTAAAAAAAAATTTATTCTCCACGAAGTAAAATTTATTCCTAGCGGTGTGTGTGTGTCCTGCAGGGAACGGCACAAATGCTCCACACTGAGGCCGCACACTCCTCACGCAGTCGCAAACCCCCACAGCCCCAGCAGAAGCAGCAGCGGCAGCAGTCCGCTCCCAGCAGATGTCAAGCCCACCACAGCCGCATGTTCTCTGGCGGCAGCTCCCTCCAGAGCTGCCCACCCCGCCAGTGCTTCCCCTGGGCCATTCAAAGTGTGAGCCTTGTCCTTGATTGCAGCCATCTCAGTGGAATTCAGTGGGCGGTTGTACAGAAAGACGTTCTTCACCGTCACCTTAGTTTTCCGGCCGGCATCCTCACCGCACGTGCCAAAGCAAAAGCGTAAAAGCTCAAGTGGCGCCTCACCCGTTAACGGCACTTCTTCCTCCCCCAGCGACTCACCATCAATGTACACAGAGGCCTTGTTGCCTTGCAGCATGAGTGCCACCTGGTATCCCTTCTTCGGCTCCCAAGTGCCACTTTTTGTTATCTTGCCTTTGAACATCGTCTCCCACTTGTTATCCGCGGTATACAAGATTCCCATGGTATGATTGGAATTAGTGTCCCCCAGCATCGCGGTCAGTAGAGGTGTGTTCCCACTCGGAGTCTCTTCGATGGTCGCCGAAGCCACAAGTGTGAAGTTGTGGCTCAAGGATACATGACGCACATTACCATCCGGAGTGTTCACAGGCCACATTACCCTGGAGTCAGGCTCCGTCAACTGAAACCCATATCTGACCTTCTTTGCATTAGGCGTCACCGTCGCATTCAGGCAAAGGTACTCGTCGTTCCACGTGTCATCACTGGCCGCATTGGACAAAACTGCCACCAGACCCGCCGTGGGTATGGTCAATTTGGAGAAGAAGGCGTCCTTTTGCGCCCAGCTCTTCAGGACAGAATTGATCGTACTCACTTCGTCCGTCAGGCGAGAAAGCGACAAGGCACTGTCTTCACCATTGTCCCTCTGTTGTAAAAGATGCAAATTGCCATCCGAGTACAGCAGGGCGCTGGCGAACTCCTCCTCCACAGAAGTGTCCATGCCAACCGGTCCAAAATAAAACGAACGGTTGTTGTCCGTCACCCAAAGGTAGAGCGCTCTTTCCCTTTTCTCCCCCGAGAAGTCCCCTCTCTGTGTGTACAGCATGACCTTCCTGCCCTCAATGGTTGCGGTGATAAGGGCTTCCACACGCAAGCTCAGATCCCAAAAGTATAATCGTGAGTTGACCCACACGCCTGGAAGCGTCCCGATGGCCTCCGTCCACGTTGTCCCCATGTCCCGCGACTCGTACACCCTCTGGCTGCTCTTGCAATTAACAATCATGAGAAGTGATCCATCCCATTCGGTGATGCGGGGGTCAGTGCAGTTCGCAGGGGAAATGCCCTTCGAGAGCGACCAGGTACTGCCGTTGTCCTTCGAGTAAATAATCATGGAGCAATAGCCACCATTTCCGCTCTTCGCCATCACAGGAAACACGAGCGTGCCATCCTCCATCAGAACACCTGAGCCACCAGCGGCAAGAAACCTTGTCAAGTTACCTTTGTGAGCAGCTATAGCACTCTCGTTTAACAGAGACCTGATTTGGCCCCATTTGATACTTTCAGTCGGATTGCTGCTCGTAGGCTCCCTCAGATCACCCACAACCAGTTCAAGTTGTGTTTTGAATCCGCTATATGTCCGATTTCCAATTTGTTTGTGCTCATAAAAGCTTCCCGCAAGAAGAAACACCTTATTGCCCTTCGTGGTGGTTGTGGGGTTGTAAAAAAAATTCACACGATTATCCGCTCCATCCGTTGTACTAAGCACGGTGTTTGCCTTCCATGTACTTCCATTCACCTTGCCAACAAGAGTAGACCAATCCCACGAAGAGTCGATGTACCCCGCAACAACATCAGAAGAAGTTTTCTCATTTTGTCTACCAGCATTAACGGTATACACGCGACCTTCGGCAAAAGCAGCAATTACTCCACCAGCACTGACGAGAGAGGGTGAAACAAATGAATCCCTCATAGTCTCTTGAGACGTTCCACCTTTCGGTACAACCTGCGTCGTCTGCGGCACAAATAGATCGACTCCCTGCGGCAATTGCGCATTCCCCGAATTACTCGTCACGGCGTTCGAAGCCCCAGCGCTGCAGTACATCATAACGACGAGGAGCAGCACCGCGGAAGTAAACACATGCCGGGACATGTTGGGCCTCTGCGGCTCACTCTCTCCTCCTTCCATCCTCCTTCCGCTGGATCCGGTCACGCGGCGAAGGTTGTGTGTGCGGGGTGCCTTCACTGCAGCAACACGTGAGAGCATATCAATATGTGTGTGTGTGGGCGGTGTGTGTACTGTTGTTAAAA